GAAAAAAGGGGCAAAAAACATAAAAAAAAAAAAAAAAAAACATCATAGTAAAATTAATACCTTCTCAGTTTCGCATCGAAGCTAATAATTTATTATTATTCATTTCAGAATATTTAACAAAAATACACGTATTACTGTTAATAAAAATCAACTACGTTCTAAAAATGATAAAGAAGATAGTGATTCTGACATTGAGTTTGTTGACATAAAACCTAGTACTATAATTCGCACCAGACTACGCACATCAAGTAAAAGTAATATATTGTTTTCAATATGTTTTTATTATTAATCAATTTTTTTTAATAGTGCTTACAAGATTAATTTTTTTCCCTCATCTATTTAGAATATAAATTTGAAAGTGGATGTATTTTATAATTTTTTATGATACATTTCAATTGCTTATCAAATATTTTGTAATAATATAACATTTGAATTGTTTAATTTTTTTTAAATTCTCTATCATAAATGTTGAATTATAGTAATATTAAAATTGAATTTCAGATAGTCGAGAGAAATCTAGAGATAGATCAAAAGAAAGAAGATCTAGTCGTAAATCACCAAATAGAAGACATTATCGGCGCTCTCGAAGTCCAGGATCGCGTCATAAATCTCGTAGTCATTCTAAATCTCCTAGTATTTCTAGGCCTCGATCACGTTCTTACACTCCAGATAGACGATCATTAAGTAGATCAAGATCACGCTCTCCTTATTATAACCGAGGAAGTAAATATTCCAGTCATAGGTATAATAAAAAATTTAGTATTATATTTGGTTTGTCCATAATCTATGATATAAAATAATTTTCAGTAGGAGACGTTATAGAAGCCGGGAAAGAGATGAATCATACAGGAGACCAATTTCTCCATCTTCATCAATTCATCCTATGCATTCTATGTCTACTTATCCTAGTCATCCTAGAATGTATTATCCTACTCCATATATGCCATATCCAAGGCCATACATGAGATTTCCTCCTCCAGGGCAACCTGGATATTATGCACCAGAAATGTACTCAGCTAATTATGAGCCTCATAAAGAAAGGTAATTATATACTTTCGCTTATTTTTATCGATTATTTTCTTTCCATGTATAATCATTTATTTTAGAAAATCAAGCAAAAGAAAAAGATTACACCATGAGTTTGAAAAAGCAGTAGAAGAAATGAAAATTGAAATGGAAAAAAAATTAGCCTATCATGAAAAAAATCCAGAAAATCACCCTATGTATCCTGAAGAATGGAAAAAATTTTGGAATAGACGCTTTAAAGAATTACAAATGGAAGGTAAAGATCCAAACAAACATGATTTTAAGCCAGAATGGATTCTTTCGTGGAGTAAACGTATGCAAGAACTTCATGATGAAGATGTAAATGAAAAAATCCAAAAACTTAAAGTAAAGATTTTGAGTGATATTGATATGGATAAAAGTTCTTCTGAATCTCCAACTAGAGAACTTTCACCCTCTAAAGATAAAAGATCAACCTCTCAATCAAAGCCTTGGACTGGGTATGGATCTGAAGTTTTAGAGAAAGAATCTGAAAAAAATAACCAATTAATAAATGATAAAAAGTCAAAAATAGCAGGAGCATCCCCCATAAATTCCGACTCTGATGATTCATTAAATGAGCTTAATGATAATAATAAACCAAGAGAAAAAATTCAGATTGAAAATCCACTTAATGTTATTACAGTGTTGAGACAATTAACTGTATTAGAAAATCAATTGGGTTTACTAGCCCCAAAAATAGTTGATTTATTATCTAAAGGACTTGTTATGGAAAAAATAGAACCTAAATCTTCCATTAATTTGTTAACACCAGAAAATTGTGTCATGTTTGAGACTGTAAAAGAAAAACTTAAAGGACAATTACTAGCAGGTGTTGTTAAGAAAAATTTAGTTAATGCTACTATGTTTTCTATTCGTAATATTGAAAAATTAATGCAGTTAGCTCCTAAGTTTATTCCACCAAAAAGTTTATTAACTACTACTCCAACACCAGCCCCTATAGCAGTTCCAGGTGTGGGAATCATAGATAAAATGGCAATTGCACAGCAAATAACACAAGCACTTTTAGCTCAAGGGAAAGTAGATGTAACTCAAGAAGAGTTGGAAACTCTTATTAATGCTGTTGTTGGTATGGCACAGTCTGGAAACAATTTGCAAGGTAACAAAAATATTTTATCTAGTTTATCTGCTAATGAAGGAAATGTTTTAAAAACATCAACTAACGAAGTTGATAAAATGAAAGAAGAAAGAGACAAAAAAAATTTAAACCATCTCTCACAGGTGGATATCATTAATTTATTAAAAAACTTTAAAGATTTAACAGCTGAAGAGCAAGATGGATTAATTACTTATCTTAAAGATTTAGGAAAAAAGAATCCAGAAGAAGTTAAAAAACTTAGAAAATATATTGATATGGGGCCAACAAATCTAAAAGAAGTGTCTTCAATATTTAAAGATGATGATGATGATGATGATGATAATTATGAATTATCTGAAGTATGTAAAGCTGTTAAAGAAAAAGTGGTTAACGAACAGAAAGATCAAGAAATCAATAAAATGGCAGCAAATTTTGAAATAACTGAAGAACAAAAAAAATTGCTTAATAGTATACAAAGTTTTCTACCAAAACCTGAAACAAAGTCTGATTACAGCTTGCAACCAACTATTCAACAAGTATCAACTACTATTGCTTCTTCAGAACCATCTTTTTATAATGGTTCTACTAATTCTTATAACTACCCAATTGTTGATCCATACTCAGCTAAACATGTTCAAATTGATATGTTTAGTCCAGAACCTTTAACATCTGTTACTCATTCGACTATACAAGAACAAGCTAATCAGTTTTCTATAAATTCACAAGAACAGCCTAATCATTTTAACATTTTATCCAATGATCAACCAAATCAATTTAGTAGTCAACCACCAGAACAACTTCATCAGTTTAATACACAACCACTAGATCAATCTAATCTATATAATGTCCCCCCATTAGAACAACATAATCTGTATGGAGAATTGCAAGAACAGCCTGATCCATATTCTGCTACTCAAAGTGATTTATTTAATGATCCATACTCTCATAACCAGAATAATAGCTATTTCCATGGAAGTCAAAATGACTCATATAATAATTATCAACAACAGAATGCTAACACAAACTCTTATCCTGCTCCTAGTAATTATTTTAAGGGAAATGATACTTATAAAAGTAAAACTTCATATAATGACTCTTATCAAGGAAATAAAAATGATAGAAATAAGAGATTTGGTCGTTCAAATAATCGTTATCAAAACAGGAGATAAGTCAATAGTACACAATTTTTTGTTTGGTTTGATACAAACTTTGATAAAGAATTTTATTTGTATTATAAAATTAAATACTAATAATAAATGTTATTAACACAACTTTTGTCTCATTTTGACAATTTTTGTTCTAAAAATTTTTTAAATAAAAATCTTTCTATTTGACTTTCTTTATTACATTATTGTGTATTCTGCTATATAATTATGTTTAGACCTTTAAAAGAACTTTATTTAATTAAAAACATATATTTTTAACAATTACATATTTCTTGAAAAACAAATTAAACAAAGTTTAATTTTATTGGTAAAAAATTAATTTATAAGGTTCTGTAAGGTCTTCAAACTTTTTTTTAAATGCTGAATATGAATTTTTTCAGCCTTGTAAACCAGTATTTTTTAGGACTTCAAAGTAAATATATAACCATTTTACTGTACTATGTATTTGTATCTATTTTTTTTTTTTGAACATCATTAATAAGATGGGTTTGTTTTCAAAGCGTACAACCAGGCCATAGAAGAGGAGAGAATTCTGAAGTTGCTGTTTTGTCGTAAAAATGTATAAAAACACCAAGTTTTTACTTATATTATTAAATTTAAATGTTTAAAAATTTTTAAACAAATATATGCATAATAGTTCTAAAGTGAATATTGAATTTAATATAAAATAGTATTTTGTTAAATTAAATAGAGCTTCTTAGAAAAAAATTAGGAGGCATCTTACTATTTATTTATTTTTATTGCGCCGCTAATTATTTAATTAATTTACGTCAAAAAATTAATGCACACAAAATATATCAGTATTTAACTTTGAAAAATAAACCTAGAAGTCTTAATTAAAGATGAAAAAATAAAAATTATTATTAAGAATAAGTAATGCGCGCGATTTTAAGATTTTAATCATTTTTAACGACCTGAGTTTTGGTGTATCAATAATTATTATTTTCTAAGAACTGTAAAAAAAATATCAGAGTAGATATCTTTACATCATGGACCACAATGTAATATATAATTAAAATTATACGGTAGATCGTGGTAAAAGTAAAAAATTTAATAATTTCCATTTTATTTTATATATCTTGGCCAGACTGATATCATATGGTCAGACGTGGATCACCCGTGAGTTGTTTGATACCTGCTGATTTTTGTATTTGATTTAGATTAAAATAACTTCATTAATAAACATTTTTTTACCAATTAAAATATTACTGAAATAGTACCATATTCAATTCAATAGTTAACTATCTAACATTTAGATAAGCTAATTCTAATTAATTCATTATAATTTTTCAATTTTAAAATTATTGAATACGTTTATTAAGATATCGGCATTATATTAGGATGTCATTGTATTTTAACTTTTTCTTGTTTAAAATAGTTCCATATATTCATTAATGTTATTCATTATGTCTTTAAACGACCAATCGTTGTTTATATTAATTTTATAATTAATGTTTTTTGTTATATAAACTTATGTATACATTTTTATATTATAAATAATCAATAATATTCTCTTCAAAATATTAGCTTAAAATAACATTAAATTTTTAATAGTTCTCATTTTTTTATAAGATGGAAATTGTTGATTGGAATACTTTGCCCAGTTTGGTACTTCATCAGATATTTAAATATCTTTTACCAGAATCCAGACTAGCAGCTTCGTCCATTTGTAAAAATTGGAGATCAGCACTTTATCATCCACAATTTTGGCATCACATTGATCTCAACATTACTACAATATCTAATAATGATATAAAGTCTAAAGTACAATACATTAATTCTTGTATTGTTCCGTTAGTGCAAAATATAAGAATTTCAGTTGATCCCTTCAATTTGGAATGTTTAAAATTAACTGTATCTACTATTGATGCTCTATTGGACAATCATCTGTTAAAAACTATTGATATTGAAATTGGATACTATACTATGACAAGAAATGAAAATTTGTAAGTTTCAATTGCTAAATAATTACTGAGATAGTTAAGAATTTAATTTTTAATGTGCTTAGATTCAAAAATAGCTCTAATAAAATGTATATGATGACACTTCAAAATTATCTAGAAAATGGAATCTTAAAAGTTTTGCAAAGAAAAAATTTTGAAGAGTTTGGTTTTGGATTCATACAATTTTTATATTGGCATGATTTGATCCATATGTTAGCCAAGTATAGTAATCACAGTATGAAGCGTCTAGAAATAACAGGATTAAATTCAACATTTTCAAACAAAATTACTAATTATACTTGCATAACTAACTCTACATTAAATAACCTCACTTTGTTGACTAATTTACAGGTATATTATATCTATGTTTATAGTGCATAATATTTTAAATAAATACATTTTTAGAAATTGAGCCTAGACTATAATTCAAATACATGTAACTTACTGCCAGCATTGTATACTATGTCTCATTTAGAAATACTAAGTCTACGTATTCTAAAAAAAATAAACTTTGAAATCAATGACAATATTTGGTTAAATTTGAAGAAGAATTGGTAATTAATTTTATATATTCTAATTTCAAATTATTAATTTTTATTCATTTAGTCCAAAATTAGGTTTGAGGTTAACAATAATTAACTGTAAATCAGCTGTAAAGAAATTACACAGAAAATTGCTTTGCCCATCAATGCCATTAACTCATCTTCAAGTTTTATTTTGTAACATGGTAATTTGTATAAATTAGTTAAACTATATAAATATATATAGTTTTTAGCTTATTTTCTATGTGAAAAATGTTGTGTGTAGTATTTGTAATATACTATTATAGTTTATAATTTTACTTGTAGGTCAATGTGCAGGTATTACGTAAGCTCTTAGATTATCGTAATACATTACAATCCTTAATTTGGGTTGATGAACATTCAAATAATCCCACAAGTTTATTGGAAGGACATTGGCACATTGATCGTTTTGGAGGAGATATTGAAACAAATCCACTTATTATTTTATCATGGGTATGCAGTAAACTTTCAGAACTTGTAGTTTTTGGTATGCAAATAATGTAACTATATTTTATTTTTAAACAATTTTTTTTCTAATGAATTAAAAAAATGTTCAGGTTATTTTATGGAAACAGTTGATGTATGTGGTATTGCAAGATTAAGAGGTACTAATTTAAAACGATTTGAATTACTTGAAGAAGATATCTGTTTTAATCGTCCATGGAGTGTCATGATATTTGATGATGTTGTGAAAGTAGTAATTATTGTATTCCATATAATCTATATATTAAGTAAAACTATTTTGTAGGATGTTTCAAAATGGATGGGGAAAAATTGGAAACCATTGAGCAAAGAGAATGTGTTTGTAAATCATTCATTAAGTCATCTTAAAACTTCCCACTATACTTTGAAATATATTTCCAATTGTTAGATGTTTAAGACTTTGTAGGATATTGAAAAGTTTGTACCTTTCTTTGTTTATGTTATTTGTACTTAATTTTTATAAGTATACATAACTTATAAGGTATATTTGATGATGGTATAATCTTAAAATACCCATAAGTTATAGGATAGACCTAAGAAAATTTATTTTACTTAAACAATAAATTTATTTTTAGTTAAAATTTGTTTTAAAAAAATATTTATTTATAGTTAAATTTTAAATAAAATGATTTAAAACCATTCAGTATTTACGACAGTTTTAAAATTAATAATTGTTGAAATTTTCAGCAACATTGTTTATTGTACTCAAAACTATGCATTATAAGTAATTTTTGTGTCAGTTTATCTGACTTTGTGATAATCATATAGCAATACTGTAATATTAATTGAGAAATGATATACATTTACAAAATCATATAATATTTGGATCAACTTTACACATTTTTTGAAAACTAAAATTGTTTGATTGTTATATTTTATTACTTTAAATTAATAAATTTAAAAATGGTTTTCTTTTTTCTTTAAAAGCTTTAATATAACTTATAGTTACCACTACTAAAAATTATATACACAAATATTTAAATTAATTAAACTGAAAGGTATTTTTACAGACTAAGGGAAAAATCAAATAACCATACACTTATATGAAGTGAAAATTTACTATTTATTTACTAATAACATTAAGAATTCTTTTTAATTTAATAAATTACTTGGTTTTTATATTATTTTATGTTTATATTATGTTGCTGCAATGTTGTTAGTTTTTCTTTTAAGATTTATTTTGTTATTGTATTTAAAACAATTCTAATTATTCAAAATTTATTTATATTTAATGTGAAAGTACAGAAAAATAAAGAAAAGAAAGAAAGATCAATTTTTTATGCAATGATCAATCTTGATATTCCTTCAAAAGTAATATCAAACACTTTAAATAACAAATTGTAAACCAATAATCACTTATAACTATTTTATTAAAACTGGACATTATATTTTATAGATTTGTAGATTTTTTAATTAAAAGAAATTCGGTGAAATTGGTACATCATCCCTTAAAAATGATTAATTTTTGGGTGAAAATGAATATTAATTAATTGTAGCATAAGTTATATGTAACTATAAATCATTATGAACTAATGTCCAGTTTGAATAGTCATTAATTTAAAGTGTATTACTACTCAAATAAAGCGTGTAATCTCAAAAAAGCACATTTTGCTGAATTGACTGTGATAACATCTGTTTAATTGTACAACATTATAGTAGTGTATAGGCATTTAAAACTGGCCCTGTGTTAGAACGGACCATCAATGTACTTGTTATTAATGTTAAAAAATATTGTTTTCGCAATGTGTTTATTGAAATTTATATATATTATGTAAAGATCTATGTAAATTTTCAAGATCTATATAATGCTGTGATTTCAAAAGATCATGTTCATAATATTAGTTGAAACATGGTAGGTTTTCATTGACTAATTTTGTATAAGATCTGTTTTACACTTTTAATTAATAAAGAAAGCATAATTGTATTATATCAATATTTGATTTGTGTGAATTTTTGATTAACAGTAACACAATCTTGATGACTGATGATATTTAATGAATGCTGTTGTCTTTTCTTTATGTATAATTTTAATGGATTTTTAAATTTACATAGCATAAAACTAATATTTTATTGTGTTATTAAAATAACATGTTTAAAATAGTCATAAATATTAAGAAGATACATGATAGGATAATTTTTGTAATTCATTCAATATTTTTTGTTTTTGTCTTGGATTATCCTTAAACTATGTAAATTTACGTTCATAAAATATTAAATTAAAAACAATGAATGTTTTAACATTTTTTGTTTTACTAATTATTAGTACAAATGAATAAATTGTGTAAATTAATTGTACTACTATATTATATTTATGATTAGAGCTTGTTGTTCACTTATTATAATTTTATTAAAATTATAACCATTGTGCTTATGAAAGTATTCCTAGATATCATATTTTGTAGTTGTATCACGCGTGATGAGAGGGTCCACACATTTTTCTTTTATCCAATTTTTTTTTATGTACATTTATGTTTTTAAATTTATTATTGATTATTATGGAAAAAATTGTCCCCAAAAACTTAACTTATCCACTGCCATTTGCATCAAACAAACTAATTGACCTCATACTGTTATTATTTGTACCTATGTACTAATTGTTATTTGTTTTCAAGTTGTAATAATAAGCATTGTTGAACACTTTTTTTTAAATGTTTAAATTGTTATATTGTTACACAATAATTATTTCATGTGAAAACTGTTGTAAAAAAGTTATTTATTGAATGTTTTCTTACATTTATAAATGGTTTATGGTTTTATGATTTTTTTTTTTTTTTGTTACTATAAGTTGCATATATTACAGAATTTATTTATATGTATAAAAATGTTTTAATGGTTATATATTTTACTGAAATGAATCATTGAGTAATTAATCTATGTATAATATATTCAATAAAGCATTTTTGATGTTATTCTTATTTTAAATTTTAATTATTCATCAGTGTGGTCAATTACCTTGACCATAATCATACTTTTTTTTTTAAATAAATTAATATTTGTTTGTAATTCTAACTAATAAATATTATTGATTAAATTTTTAGTCGGATTGAGGTCTATGAAACAAAATTGAACTTTTGAAAAAGAAAATTTTTAATCTCATGTATATTAATAAAATATTAAATGTTACAATCACTGTTTGAAAAAATGTGTCAAATAAAATTATTGAATAGCAAATAAAACAGTTAAAAAAAAAGATTATGTAGCAGTTAGGCCCCACAGACATAAATTTTTTCCAAAGACTTCTCAAATATCTGTTCTGATAGCACTATTAGAATAATTTAATTAGAAAATAATAATGTGGGACTTCAAAGCTTTTTATTATAGTAGGTAAAATTTTTATTAATACTCTAAACTGTAAAGAATTCCTAAAAATAATGGTTTTCAAGTCTTAAATTTAATAAAGCACTCTTTTATCATATGTACTTTGAAGTGGTTAAATTATATAAATATAATTATTATAAAATTATTTAAATTTTTTTTATTTTAGTTAAATATCCCTTATGTTTTTCCTGTCCACCCAAATTCCGGATTAAGAAGGATTTTTTAGGAGAGGTCATTTCACTATTTCTATTATAGTAAAAGCTACACTTAGAAAAAATGAATTCTAATTTTGAGATGCCATTGCTTTTATGCTCTCTTTGTATTCGCGTCTGGTCCACCTTTAAATTTAAGAATTTTTTTAGGAGGTATTGCAATGATCATACATAGTCATAATATTNAAATGATCATAGTCATAATATTTTTTTAATCGGTCTCCTAGATTTGGAAATATTTTAAGTGACCAGCGGACACTACTAAACAGTGCCAGCNCAATGATCATACATAGTCATAATATTTTTTTAATCGGTCTCCTAGATTTGGAAATATTTTAAGTGACCAGCGGACACTACTAAACAGTGCCAGCGTTAAATATTGCGGTACCTATTTTTCAGAAAAAACACCTACTCATCTCCACTTATAAAATACTATAAAACATAGTGCCCTAGACAAATGAATTGGTGGTCTTGTCCTTTTGCCGATCTTGCTGGTTAACGATCCAAAGTAGCTTCAGTACCCATACATTTCAAATACAAATACATGGTCAATTTTTTCGATAATAACTCGATTACTTTTTTCTTAATTTACTGATTTTCTTGTTTTAACTTACACATTTGTATCTTCGAGGTTAGAACTGTTGCCTACAAGATTATTATGAAGTGCAACGGAAAATAATAGGGTATCCTCCCTTTTCCAGCGTGACCAAAATTAAAAACGTGTTTAAGATATAAATAGGAGATTGTTAAACATTTTTTTCATTTACAATCTCCTCAATGACAAACTCATTATCAAAGAAAAAAAAGATAATTGGTAATCATTGAATGTTATTAAAGGATATTTTCATTATTTTTATATTATCATAGCATTTTTTTATAATGATAATTAAACTTTTGAAAACTTCTTACTATATGTTTTTCAAGTGATTACAAGTATGTCGGAAAACTTGTTAACTTTATAAATAATTTGTTTAGTTTTAGGAAATTTCAAAGGTGAACTTCTCAGCAGTGTCATAGTCAGGATTTTTGTATAAATGGGCTAAACATTTTTTTTTAGATTTTCACGTAGTCTTAATAGAACCAAAGTCATGTTAATTGTAATTATTGATCAATGGGGGGGGGTTCAATCCTTCCTTGGCTACGCTAATGCTTTTTAATGTGTACAATTTTTATCTACATAATATGTTCATGTGATTCATAAGGTGTCCAGCGTAGAGTAACCAAGGAAAATAAAAATGAAATCATGGAAAAACAGAGTACTAGTTTCTCTATTCATCTTCAACCAAGATACACGTAAGAGATATATATTCAAATTTTTTTTTTAACTTTGTTGCGATAGCTGAAGAGCTTTTTAATAGTCAGCAAACTTTTCATGAGATTATCAGTTTCTTTGATTAAAACAATCTTAAGCTCCAGAATTTGCTTTTCTGATAGAGGTGTTTCTGACCCTTACAGTTAAGTTAAAAGAGACAGCTCTACTTTTCTTTCGAGGATTTCTATTGCCTCTTCGCGTTATTTTTTTATGTTAACCACCAAATACAAATTGTGTTAGGGGAGCCGTTGCACCGCGACGATGATTGCATAGGCATAAGCAACAGGGGTCTAAGCACGAGCCGCAAACACAGTAAGGCGATGGGTACCCCACGGTCGGTGGCGGTGTAAGAGTCGCGTGCGCTTAGTTTACTAGAAGTGAACAAGCGGCGGTGGGGATTTGACGGGTGGCGGCAGTACATAATATCGAGATGGGTTTGTGTGAGTGTGACCGACTGCGGGACATTGATACGGACGGTGATGATCAGGAGGCAGGGAGGGGGGATCGAAGTACGAAACGAAGAAGAATATCGGTGGAAAAACAACACACACACATACAAAGAGCGCACGCACGCACACATACATACATCGGCAAACGACACGCCATATTGAATCCGAGGTCCGCGCTAGTGTGTGTGTGCGCGTTAATTTTCGCGTATCCGGCCATTACCAGCAGCGGCACACAGAGCGCGGGCGAGAGACGGACACAAACAGCCGCAAAAGTTTCGTTGTCGTCGACAAGTACGCGCCCGTCGGGTCAGTGTCGTCGGCCGCCGTCAACTTGGACGTGAAAAATTATACTTGACGTGGTTATTGACTGTTCGTCCCTCGACGGTCGAGTGATACTCGTTCGTCATTAGTGTGGTAATTAATTTTGGAGCCATTGTATCGTATCGCACGCCACCGGGCCCAGTGTCTCAATACGCGACCGCAATCGATCCATTGGCGTCCTTAATTGACCCTCGTTGTCGATACGCTCAGGTATTGTACGCGGTGTGTGCTGTCGTTTTGTGTGCGTTTTTCGACGGGTCTCCGAAGTGGTTGGTGTGTGATGATAAAAGGCGACGCCGGTCGACTAGACGTGTGCGGCGACCATTAATTGTTGAACGCGGTTGGTGATCAACGTCGACGATGACGGCTGTCGTTACCACTACCGCCACAGCCACTTCGGTTGTTATCAATATTCCAGTGTTGTTATGATGTCGGAATCACAACATTTTCACGAATAGTGCCCGAACACAAACAAACGTTGTGGATATTTAATATAGCTATTGTTTGACCATCACCCGAAAAATTAATCGGTCGTTAAGGTAGAAAAGCGAAATGTAAGTATTGGTCGTTTAAGATAATACGGTTAAGTGATCGGTCCGTGTGCGTTTTCGTCGTTGTAATTACAAACGAACGGTGGCGGAGGAAACTCGACGAGAAGAGCCACCGCCGCTGCCGCCACTAGTGTTTTTTTTTTTTTTTTTTAATCACCTTGACACGATTACGTGTTTTGGACGGCTTAAGTAAAATTTGTATTTTCCGATTAGACTCTTCGACGTGTACCTTCCAATAGTCATAATTATCGTCCGATTTAAGTTAATTTTCACTAAAAGTAATTATTTCATTGCGTTGTTGATTAAATCGCTTTACCCGTTACTGCCGTTCGACTTTGTTGTCCGTGTTTGTTTTCTCACAGGGAAAATCTTATTTTGCATATGGTCATATCTCGCGAATGTAACGCAGTTATCTTTATTATAGTAATTTGACATTTTTGCTCGTTTTATAATTTCAATTTAATGTTGTTTGTTTAAAAGTAATGTATGTTTTTAATGCCGTTTTAACGATTAATTTATCATATAAATTAATAAATGTGTTCATTTATTAATTGACTTTTATATTGTTTGATAAAGTTTATTAAAAATGACAAATTCTATTTTTGATTTTTAATTATGTTGTTTTGTTTTTTATAAATTATACTTACAATTATGAGGTTAAGTGAAAAGTTTAATCAAATGTTTGCTATCAGATATTTCATAAATTTAACAATGTCAAATTATTTTACTTTTCTTTGCTGTATATGTTTTTATTTTATTTAAATTAATACAATAAAAAGTATAATAAGTTTAAAAGATGGTAATATGATGCTTGAAAAAATATATGTACTTGTATCTATATTTAAGCGTTTTAATAATATAAACTGATTTCAATATTACATAAATCAGTATATCAATTTATATTGATATAAAATATTAGAAATAACAGTTTTTTTTAACTTCTTTATGATTACTTATAACATTTACAAATTATACACAACTTATAATAACAATTATTAATACTTGTATACATGTTTTTTATTATAAATTTTATATCAGATTCATGTTTCAAATAGTTGTAAATAGAATACGTTTAATTGTTAACTCTACCATTGCATTTTAAGCTTGAATTGTCTTTTGTTGATGATTATTTATTATTTTTCATTAATATCCACTCCTTACAAATAATAACTTAATAAAATGCCATGTACATTTATATTATAAATAGTTGTTTCACAATCATTCTGAGTTATTTGCAATGAGGCCCACTTAAGTTAATAAGATTTTGCCATATATGCACCAGCTGTTTTTATATCAGGTGTACTGTTAAAGTTATATATTCTTAACATTATACTTATTAGTAATTTATTTAGTTTATTCAACTTCAAGTAAAATAAAGCTTTTAAATGTGTACAATCTAATTATGAATTAAAATATTGTTTGTTTCAGATTATGGCTACTCAGATGGAAGTTGACGATGATGTAGTTGACTTAAGCATATCTAGGTAATTATTAATATTTTTTTCTTTAATAGTTAAAAATAAATAAATATTTATTTTTTAACATACTAGTAAATAACAACATTATTTTAATAATAAAAACCCAGCACAGGGGGGTCGCGGCACAGTTGTGACGTGGTATAGTTGGATCAAGTATAATGATATCTGACAGTGATTAAAATCACTATCAAAAATAAACGCTTCGATGCAAATCTTTAGATAGTGTTTAATTTTAAAAAAATTGGTGTTTTATTCCAAAAGCTACTTGAT